TGAGCGCAAGGTTCCTCACGCTGAGGACAAGGTTTCTCACGCTGAGGACAAGGTTCCTCACGCTGAGGACAAGGTTCCCCACGCTGAGGAGAAGGTTCTGAGTCAAGGTTCCTCACGCTGAGGACAAGATTTTTCTCGCTGAGCACAAGGTTTTCTCGCTGAGGACAGGGTTCCTCACGCTGAGGACAAGGTTCCCCACGCTGAGGACAAGGTTCCTCACGCTGAGGACAAGGTTCCTCACGCTGAGGACAAGGTTCCTCACGCTGAGGACAAGGTTCCTCACGCCGAGGACAATGTTCCTCACGCCGAAGATAAGGTTCCCCACGCAGAGGACAAGGTTCCTCACGCTGAGGACAAGGTTCCTCACGCTTATGACAAGGTTCCTCACGCTGAGGACAAGGTTCTTCTCGCTGAGGACAAGGTTCCTCACGCTGGGGACAAGGTTCCTCACGCTGAGGACAAGGTTCCTCACGCTGAGGACAAGGTTCCTCACGCTGAGGACAAGGTTCCTCACGCTGAGGACAAGGTTCTTCACGCTGAGGACAAGGTTCCTCACGCTGAGCACAAGGTTCCTCAAGCTGAGGACAAGGTTCCTCACGCTGAGGACAAGGTACTTCACGCTGAGAACAAGGTTCCTCACGCTGAGGACAAGGTTCCTCACGCGGAGGACAAGGTTTTCACGCTGAGGACAAGGTTCCTCACGCTGAAGATAAGGTTCCTCACGCTGAGGACAAGGTTCCTTACGCTGAGGACAAGGTTCCTGACGCTGAGGACAAGGTTCCTCACGCTGAGGACAATGTTTCTGACGCTGAGGGCTAGGTTCCTCGCGCTGAGAACAAGGTTGCTCACGCTGAGGACAAGGTTCCTCACGCTGATGGCAAGGTTTGTCACGCTGAGGACAAGGTTCCTCACGCTGAGGACAAGGTTCCTCACGCTGAGGACAAGGTTCTTTACGCTGAGGACAAGGTTCCTGACGCTGAGGACAATGTTCCTCACGCTGAGGGCAGGGTTCCTCAAGCTGTGGACAAGGTTCCTCACGCTGAGGACAAGGTTCCTCACGCTGAGGACAAGGTTCCTCACGCTGAGGACAATGTTCCTCACTCTGAGGACAAGGTTCCTCACGCTTAGGACAAGGTTCCTCACGCTTAGGACAAGGTTCCCCTCGCTGAGGACAAGGTTCCTCACGCTGAGGACAAGGTTCCTCACGCTGAGGACAAGGTTCCTCACTCTGAGGATAATAGTAGTGCGTCGTACTTGCTCATCCCTCAAACTTGTAAGTTATGATATAGTTTTTAAATGACAGATAGAGTAGTGAGAGAACTTAAAGCGTAAATACTCTACCATGCATTAAACATACTCTTAATAAGCCTATTATTATTGTATTATTTTATTAGAATCTAGTTTTACGTGAAATTGCATTTTTAAAAGACGTGAATCGTGAAACGGCTTTTTTTTCGTTGGTAAACGGGATCCGTACCCCTCTTTCCCACCTCAAAAAAGGCAAAGGAAATTGGTGAGCCCTTATTTTATATTAATAGGTTTATTGCTGAGTTTTAACAACGAGCAAGTGGTCTTGTGGTAAAGCCCAGAGGCGTAGCCAGGATTTTTGTTCAGGGGGGCCGAGCAAAAACCCAGGTGGGGCCAAGCCTCCAGTGACTCGAGACGCCAAAGTCGTCAATCCGTCCCAAAGTGGGGTGGGGGGAGGGATTAGTACTCCAAATTAGGAAGTTCCAGTGATATGCTACCCGAATTTTGTTTTATTTTTGGTACACTGAAATGGGATTTCTAGCGTTTTGGAGGCACTTGTAAAGTTATAGTACAATGTGCTGATCTTAAATCCATTTTTAACCATGTGAGAAATCCGTTTTGCAGAATCTTCACTTTGATATCCGCGCACAGTGGTTCACACACAATAACATTCAGGGGACTGTATTCTATCGATTTATTTCATTGGAAAGATTATCTATTTACAACGCGATTTTAGACTTCCTCGTCTCGCTAGGATCTGATCACAACTGAATTTATATATTTGCCTCAATCAATGTTGGTATTAAATTACAATGAATCACTATGACGTATTTTAAGCAATACTATATACATATTTGTACATTAAGTAGCAGAAGCAACTGCTGTGCGGAAAACTGGCGGCACTGCGCTGGGAACTTACAACACCCCACCCACCTTGATTCATAAAGGATTCATCTATGAATCAAGCATCGCCCTTGTCTTCGCTTTGGAAGTAACAGCAGCAGCTCGTCTTGGACGCTCATGCAAATCATGCAAGGAACCTTCTTACTCAGCTGAAGGGGAATTCTCTTCCTTCCCTTTCCCACCCGGTCGAGCTTGAATCTCTAACGGGTAAAGTTTCTGGACCGGTCTTTTCAGGTAAACTGGTCTACCCTTCCCTGCAACTCTTACTTTGGCTCCTCTAATTTCCTTGTCCTTTCCTATAATTAGTTCTTCTACTTTCGCTAATTTCCAATTACCTCGTTTCTCTCCCTCTCCATACACTGTCACTACATCTCCCTTCTTCACACTCTTTCTCGGATTTTGACTCTTACATTTATGAAATTCTCTCAACCCTGTCAGGTACTCACTTTGCCACCTCTTCCAGAAATGTTGTAATTTCAACGTAATATACTTAAATCTTTCTCCACAGCTACGTTCCTCTCTAACTACTTCCCTCTGTGGTATGAAGTTAATAGCTCTACCATAAATTAGGTGTGACGGTGTCAAAACCTCTCCTTCACACTCTTCATACTCATCTGTTAATGGTCTAGCATTTAATGTACCCTCTATCTCTACAAGCACTGTGGTAAGCTCATCTACTGTCAATTTAGCATTACCTAGAACCTTTCTAAGACACCGTTTAACACTCCGAACCATTCTCTCAAAAAATCCTCCCCACCAAGGCGCTCTTTCTAAATTAAACCTCCATGTTACTCGTTTGGTTTGCAATTCCGCCTTAACCTTAGGGCTTAGGTTGGTTAAACAACCGTCTAACTGCCCTTTCTGCTGCCTGAAACGTTTTGGCATTGTCAGATACTATAAGGTCATATACTCTCCTAGCAGCAAATCTCCGTAGACAACACAAAAATGTCTCTGCAGATAAATCCCTAACTAGCTCCAAATGTATAGCTCTAGTCACACAACAAGAAAACAATGCTATATAAACCTTACTTGGACATTTTGCACAACACTTTACAAACAATGGACCTGCAAAATCTATTCCCACATTAGAAAAGGGTGCAGCTTCCCTAACTCGAAATCCTGGCAAATCTGTCGTCTGTGCTACACTATATGCTTGTCCCTCTAATCTTTTACAGGTGACGCATCTACCTAAAATCCGCTTCACCATTTGTCTTCCTTTCACAACCCAATATTTTGTCCTTAATCTTCCTAAGATTGCCCGTACACCACAATGATGCACTTCACTGTGACATTTCTGGGCAATCAATTCAGTCAGTCTGTGGTCCTTGGGTATAATGATTGGGTGTTTGGTATTGAACTCCAACTCAGAATTATGTAATCTACCTTTACATCTCAGAATGCCTTTCTCTTCCATCAAACCTAAACTATTACTCAGTTGGGTGTACTTTCTATCTACTTTCCACCCTGCCTGAGCCTCTTTAATCCATATATTCTCTGCCTCAACTAACTCATTCGCTGTCAACTCTCCACTTCGCCTATCAATGCCCCTTGCTTTTGCTCGTACATTAAACCCAAACCTGAGTACCCAAGCTGTTACCCCCAAAAGTCGTTCTCCTGTCCCATAATCATTCAAGTCAATCACTCTACTTACACTAGCTGGCTTTTTCACCTTTATAACCATAACTACAGACTTTCGTTCCTCTTCCAAAACTGTCTTTGTCTTATCAGTAGCCTCAAATTTTGGCCACTCCTCTTTTGACTTAGTTAGCCAATCTGGCCCCACCCACCATAGCTTGTTATCTTTCAACCGTGAAGCAATTACACCTCTAGACCCAATGTCAGCAGGATTTCCAACCCCGGGACAATGCCCCCAATCCCCTTTGTTCGTTAGGTTCAAGATCTCATTTACTCGGTGGTGGACAAATTGTTTCCATTCACCCCTATTCATTATCCAGTAGAGTGCTGTCATGCTGTCAAGCCAAAACTTGGTACTATCTATCCTAACTTGGTTTTCAAGTGACGCTTTTACTGACTTCATAATTTGCGCTAACAGCCTCGCTGACATTAACTCTAACCTGGGAATACTAGTTGCTTTTAAGGGAGCTACTCTTGCCTTTGATGTCAATAAGCAGACAGAAACCCCTACATTAGTACAATACACAAAATATACAACTGCACAGTATGCCTTCTTGCTCGCATCGCCAAATCCATGTAAGGTACACTCCAAAACATCTTCTGCACGATGTTGATATATACAGCGAGGAATGGTAATTTCTTTAGTTTCTATCAAATCCATGTACCAACCCTCCCACTTATGCAGTAACTCCTCAGTGAAGTTTTCATCCCAATCAACTTTATCCTTACATACTTCTTGGAACAATATTTTGGCACATACAATCACTGGACTAACTATTCCGAGAGAATCAAATAAACTTGCTAAAACACTCAGTAGATTTCGCTTTGTAGGTGATAAGGTTTTTGCCCTTTCCCCCACTCTCGCAATCTCAAACTTAAACAGCTCATCGCTCTTGTTATCCCATGCCTGTCCTAACATTTTATGGCATTTTGATTCACATACTGTTACTCCAAGGGATAGTTTTGCATATGATTGATGATCCTCAACAATGTGTTTTATCTTACATTGGTCTGTCTCATACACCTTAATTTTACTTTCCAATAGATTACTGTTAGTTGACCACTTTCTTAGCTTGAATCCCCCTTGTGCCATTCTACTCATAGTCTTATCATATAACTGAAATGCCTTATCTACCGTACTTTCCCCACTAACTAAATCGTCTACATAGAAACTTTCTAGCACCTTCTTCACAAACTCAGGATCGGTTTCAAGATACTTTAAGACATGATGCCTTAATGTTGCATTGAGTAAGAATGGAGATGCATTCAATCCAAATACTACTCTACAAAACCTATAAACAACTGTTTCCCACTTATCACTCTCAATATCATTTACCCACAAAAACCTCAAACAGTCTCGATCTGCCTCATCAACCTCCACATTCAAAAAAGCCTTTTCAATATCGCCTACTAAAGCAATCCTGTTTTCTCTAAACCGTATCAGTATGCTATATAGTAATGGATTGAGGGATGGCCCAACATGCAAGCAGTCATTAAGTGATGTTCCTGACTTACATTCCTTAGATGAAGCATCATAAACAACCCAAACCTTTGTGGTCACTGCATCCTTGCGAATGACCGCCTGGTGTGGTAAATAATTAACTTTATCAACTTTCTCTAATGCTGCTACTGGTTCTACAATCCCTTGCTCTACCTGTTCTCTGATGATAGAATCATACTCTGTCAACAATGCTGGCTCCTTCAATCGTCGCAACTGATTCCTCATTCTACCTAAGCTATTTGCATAATTGTCAGGCAATTTGTCGTGGCTTTCTTTCCAGGGTAGTTTCACTGCATATCTACTACCTGTAAAAGATATGCCATCTAAAAACTCCTCATGAACTTTATCTTCCTCACAGATACCTAACCCTTCAAAACTCCACAGCTTCTGTACATTACTCTCCAAACTATCTTCATTATTCATTGTCTGAGCTACAAAATTTACTTGGGCTAACTCTGCTCCCTCTATATCTTGCACTCTCAAAGGCCCTGATAAAACCCATCCTAACTCAGTTTCTATGGCAACTGGCTGTCCAGATTTACATCTTTTGGTTACACCTTTCTGAAAATTCCAGAGGTAGTCTGCCCCTATCAACACATCTATCTCTAGCTCACCCTGACACTTCGAAACATCTGAAAACCATATACCTTTCAAATGTGGGTATTCTCTCCTTGCTAGTTCTACATGGCTATTCTGTATTCTACAGATTTCTGGCATTACAAATGCTTCTAAGGAGATAACCTTATTCCCGTTAACAGGTTCAAGCTTTAATTCGACCACCTCCCTGTGCTCGGCATTGGTACATTTTTGAACGAACGTATTAATCCCTAACAATTCCCTTCTTAAGCCCTTGGGATTCACAAGACTAGCTGCTTTAGAAGTAACAAAGGAACGATAACTTCCCGCATCAAAGAGAACCCGCACCTTAGCCACCCTTTCACCCCTTAAAACCCCGCGTGCAGTTTGCAAGGCAACCAGGCTACCAGTTCCCGCATGCAAGTTACTACTGGAACTAGTCACATGAGTATTAACAGGGACCTGTTTAGATTCTTCGTCAGGTTTTACTGTTTTATCACGTTTATCGTCTTCTTTAGGGCTTGCATCACACAATACAACATGATGTGCCCCATTGCAAACATTACACCTACTTTTAACAGTACAATTACTGGCTCTATGGCCCTTAAATAAACAAAGAAAACATCTACCGTATTTACGAGCCAAACTCTTTCGTGTCCTCGGATCTTTCACTCCCTCACAGTCTTCATGGTTGTGGTTCTTCAGACAGAATACACAGTTCCTCTCCTTTCGTTTGCTAACAATGCGGCTGCAGTTTCATGATGATGTTGGCCATATTTCTTTATATTACCCGAATTTCGCTCGTGTCTTTCCTGCTCTCGATCCGAATTTGTTCCTACTGCATTGTGCGCTTCACAAAGTTCGAGTTCCTTCTCAAAAGCGTTTAACATTTCTTCCATCGACCATTCCAGAAAGTTCTGCCCTCGCGTGATGGTCAAACGAAACTGTTCTGGCAACTTTTCCATGATTGTCGGAACAACAATGGCTGAATACGAGTCTTTGTTCACTCCCAGGGCTTTCAATGCGCAGTTGTTCGCTTCGCAGCTGTCATACAACTTCCGTAATCTTTGTGTATCTCTTTCTTTATAAACCGCTGGCAATTGTATCAGTTCATTTACGTGCGCCCGTTGTACTGCGCTTTTCTTTTTGAACCGTTTCTTTAACAATTCCACCGCACACTTGTAATTCGCTCCCGTCAACGAGAGACCAGCGATGGTAGACTTTGCTGGCCCTTCCAAATATCTGTGCAGATAGGCGAACTTGTCAACATCCGACAATTGGTCATTGTTGTCTATCGAGCTGGAAAATCCATTCCAAAACTCTGGCCATTCACAAATCTTTCCGCCAAAATTCCGTAGTCTAAGTTTCGTAAGCTTCGCTCTTATGATTTTACCCGCACTTGATATTGAAACATGACTTTGATCAAGGTTTCCTTCGGCTGATGTGAGAATCGTTGGCGTCAACAATGGCAGGCTTTGTCCTCCGAGTTTTCCTAGCGGGTCATCGAGTTGAAGCAACGTTCTTTCCAATTCTGCGATCGCTTCGCTCTTTCAACATTTTGATTTTGTCTCGTAATGTGATCTGGCTTTGTCTCAGCCATACTAAGTCCTTCTCTGGGCTCTCTGGGCTTGCTTTCGGTATCGCTTCAATTATCTTTGCCACAAGCTTACTTGCCGATGCTCTGTGGCCTCCTCTAACTCCCTTTTTCTTTGCCAGATCGTCCATACTCTTCGTTTTCAAACTTTACGAAATCTTTCCACTATTGACAGCAGCGCAAATATCAAACGTTCTTTGTTCGCAGCCTCGTACACAATTCACAAATCCGGTTCGATCGGACCCAGAATCTTCACTTTGATCTCTGCGCACACTGGTTCACACACAATAACATTCAGGGGACTGTATTCTATCGATTTATTTCATTGGAAAGATTATCTATTTACAACGCGATTTTAGACTTCCTCGTCTCGCTACGATCTGATCACAACTGAATTTACATATTTGCCTCAATCAATGTTGGTATTAAACTACAATGAATCACTATGACGTATTTTAAGCAATACTATATACATATTTGTACATTAAGTAGCAGAAGCAACTGCTGTGCGGAAAACTGGCGGCACTGCGCTGGGAACTTACAACAATTGGTCCCAGAAAATGTTTTTGCTGGCAGAAAGAAAAAAGGGAAGGAAGAAAAAAGGGCAAAGAAAGAAAAGAAAGAGGAAAGAAAGAAAAGAAGAAAAAGAATAGAAAGAAAGAGAAACTGCACCAATAAGTAACCATTTTGTTCAGGGACAGACATTTAAACTAGGTGTAGGGGGTGCCCCCAAACAGGGGCGGAACCTGGAGTTTTCGTACGTTAGTCAAAGTTTTCGGATGTACAATCTAGGGGGTCTGTCCCCCAGGAATTTTTATATTTTTAAACCTCAGAAATGCAATTTACATCACGCTGGAAGCAGCTTTGACAAACAATTAACTTCATGAAATGGGAGATAATTATAGCAACTATCAGTTTGACTGACTCTCACAACCCACTCCTTAGGGAAAAGTAAAGGAGAAGTACTTGCAGAAATGGGATAATTGTGGAAGATGTTTCATTTTATCAAATTACAGATTGTAGTATTATGTTTAACTATCTCATGATAGTACTACACTAATTTTTGTTGCCTAATAGCCTTGTTGAATCATTGATCACTTGACCTGTAATCACTACAGTGTAATATTACTCAAATATAAAAATATTTCCTACGGAAATATGTTTTTTTATGTCACAAGCCTGAATTATAGTGATAAGATAAAAGTAGGAAATAATACGTGACATAAGTGGTAACACACTGCTTACTGAGCTTTTATCTTTCACATCATATATCACTTGAGGTTGAACATGTTATATGAGTAACCTATATTGATCATTAGTGGAGCTATATGATTTATAATAATAGAAGTATCTTTCAGTTATAAATTATCGAAAAATTTGTTCTATACTCAGTACGCGATCAAAGATGGCGACCGATCAACAACGTGGTCCCCAAACAAGAAGCTGCGCTGAAACACAGCGTGCTGATTTTGATGCCTATTTTGCTTCAGAAGAGTTTGAGTCACTGGTCAACAAAGCTGTCTCAACCGAATTCACTCGTTTTATATCATCTGAAGAGTTTAAAAACTTGTTCACTATCACTACAAAATCCATTATTACTCAAGTTGTATCAGACGTTGTTATTAATGAAATTGAGGAAGCTACGAAGCCGCTTCAACATCAAATTGATAGTTTGAAAGATGAACTTAACAAAACTCAAATTCACGTCAAATCACAACGAGCAATATTCACGCCGCTGCAATATCAGGATCTTTGGAATTCAGGAGATTGAAGGGGAAAATTGTTCGGAAGTTGTTCTAAATTTTCTCAAGAAGGAGCTGGGTTTAGGGATTGCTTTTGAAGATATTGATCGTTGCCACAGACTAGGTCCTTCTCGCGGGGATGGCTTGAGAGCTATAATTGTTAAATTTGTCAGCTATCGAGTTAAGTCAGAGGTGCTTAAATCAAGAAAAAAATTAAAGGGAAGGAAATTGTACATATATGAAGATCTCACAGCTACGAACATGATGCTGTTACGCGAGACACGAGATTGCTTTCGGGGTTATTCTGTCTGGACAGCTGATGGCAAGGTGCTAGTCAAATTTACTGATGGGAAAGTCACGCGGATTCAATCGAAGAAGGATATTGATGAGTTGATGAAATGCACTCCGCATATGAACTAACCAATCCTATACTATCTATTTAAAAAAATTATTCCTATAACTCATATGATTAATTCTATTTCTTTAATTCTTGTGTGGTATTTTTCTCTATTTAAGATCTGTGTGTATTCACTTGTGCAGCCCGAGGTAAGTTTGTTGTGTAAAAGGTTTTGCAATGGGGGTTAGCCTCGAGATTTATAGAGCAGCTATTGGGGTTTTCAATCAATGTTTTGTCTGTTTGTGTAAACTGACGATATTGTTTAATTTTAATAGCAACTGGCTAATTGTTATATTCGTGTGGCTATGTATATTCTAGCCCTCCACGGCCCTCCACGTAACTTCACTTTAAACATGGGTCATATAAATATGCTAGAAGTCTAAATTGCACTGACAAATTTGATGAAATATGTTCTCTCACTCACGATGTAAATTTGGATATTTTAGCTGTTTCAGAAACCTGGTTAAATAACAGTATTTCTAGTGACACTTTACATATTCAAGGTTGTGCTCCTATAATTCGTTTAGATAGGCAATGTGGTCGGAGGGCTGGTGGTGTTGCTCTTTTTATTTCATCAAACATTGTATATAAATGACGCTTTGATCTTGAAAATTGGGAATTTGAACTGCTTTTTGTTGAATTTAAGATTAGTCACACTAAGTTTATTTGTGGTGCCTGTTATCGACCACCAAATTATAGCACTGAAAACAATTTAGCTTTCTTAGATCACTTGCAAAACTGTTTGGATAGAATATATTTAGAACCTAATACCTTTGTTGTACTCCTTGGGGATTTCAATGCTCATTTTGATGAGAGTTCCGTATCACCAAGCACCGATTTTGGTGCGTGTTTATATAGTTGGATGGAATGTAATTGTCTGTATCAGGTAATTAAAGAACCAACACGCGTGACTTCACATAGTGCTACGTTGTTGGATCTTATAATAACAAATTACCCAGGATACTTTGTCTTCTCTGATGTTTTAAGTCCTCCTAGTGGCTGTGATCACTCGTTTGTTTACGCTCGTATAAATGTTTTCCCTGAGAAACAAAAATGTTATAAACGTCGGATTTGGGATTTTTCCAAAATTGACTACACTGTACTACATACAAATCTACTTAATATTAATTATGAGGACATTTTTGTGAATACTGATAATATTGATGACTTGTATTTTAAATGGTATGAAACATTTCGCGAAGCATTGGAATTTAGTATACCGAATCGGATAGTAACAATTCGTCCAAGAGATAAGCCGTGGATGAGTTCTGATACTAGAAAGGCAATTCGTAAGAGAAATAGGTTATTGAAATACTATTGCCGTCATAAAAGTCCAAGAGCTTGGGAAAACTACAGGATGCAAAGGAATTTGACAACATTTCTCATACGGACTGCTAGGAGGAAATACTATGCAAATCTCAGTGACAAATTACAAGATCCAGAAATAGGCCAAAAGAAATGGTGGGGCATAATTAAATCACTTTATGGAAATAAAATCCATTCAAATATACCTGCACTACTTGAAGGAGATCGGATGATAACGGATGCGAAAGAAAAAGCTACGTTATTTAATGACTATTTTTGTTCTGTATGTCAGATTGAAAATGGTGACACTGCTTTACCGAGTTTATCTGCTTTTCAAAATTCAAAGTACCTTGCTAATATTTCTACTTCAGAACAAGAAATAAATATTTTATTGAGAAATGTTGATCTTTCTAAAGCTTGTGGTAGTGACGGTATCAGTAATTTTATACTTAAAATATGTGCTGAATATATAGCTGATCCTTTATGCCGTATTATTAATGAATCACTTTTGCAAGGAGTCTATCCTTCCTTGTGGAAGTTTGCAAATGTTATTCCAATATTTAAAAAGGATGATCGTCAGAGTAAAGTAAATTATCGCCCTGTTTTGTTGCTAGCTTGTTTGTCAAAGATTTCTGAAAAAGTTGTCTTTATAATTTTTTATTGGATATAAACTTCCTAAATCCATTTCAATCGGGATTTCGACCTGGTGATTCTACTGTTAACCAACTAATTTTAATAACTCATAAAATTTACGAAGCTTTAGAACAAGGCAAAGAAGTTAGGATGGTTTTTCTGGATATTAGTAAGGCTTTTGACAAGGTTTGGCATAAAGGTCTCCTATACAAGCTCGAACATCTTGGCATTCGAGACCCCTTATTAAAATGGTTTAAAACTTATTTAACTGGGAGAAAACAACGCGTAATTATTGATGGCCAGTCATCTGACTGGAGAGAAATTAAAGCAGGTGTACCCCAAGGCTCTGTGTTAGGTCCTTTGCTTTTTCTAATCTATATCAATGATATTACTACCGACCTTCAGAGCAGTTCTTTTCTTTATGCTGACGATACGTCCTTACTTGAAGTAGTCGATGATCCTGACGCTACTGTGGCAAAGCTAAATGATGATCTTGAGCTTATAAATACATGGACTCATAAATGGCTTGTAACCATAAATTCTGATAAAACTAAGTCTATGGTATTTTCTATCAAACGTCAAAAGCCTTTGCATCCACAGTTAAAATACGATAATCAAATTGTTGAGTCTGTTAGTAATCATAAACATTTAGGTGTCACCCATTCTTCTAATCTTTCGTGGAGAACGCATGTGTTTAATATTTATGAAAAAGCATAAAAAAGACTGAACCTTTTGAAGGGTTTGAAATTTAGAATAAATAGAGCAGCTTTAGACAATCTATACAAGGCACTTATAAGGCCTATTCTAGAATATGCTGATGTTCTTTGGGACAATTGCTCCCTGAGTGAGTGCGACCTTATTGAATCAATTCAATATGAATCCGCAAGAGTGGTCACGGGCGCTATGAAGGGCACCAGCAGATCAAGATTGTTAGAAGAGTTGTCATGGGAAGATATGAAAACAAGGCGATCCATGCATAAACTTGTTTTATATTACAAAATTGTTAATAACCTTACTCCAAATTATTTATCCGATTTGCTGCCCCAGACAGTGCAACAAAGGTCAGGGTTATTATTGAGAAATTCAGAGAATATTACTTTGTATAGGTCAAGGGCGGACAGATTTAAAAAATCTTTCTTTCCTTCAGCTACGTCAATGTGGAACAATCTCCAGGTTAGAGAACGTAATATATCCACTGCTCAAGCATTTAAACGTTCGTTGCTTGAGTACTTTGACATCGTGAATTACAATAAATTATATGATTTTGCCATCGATAGGTTTTCGTCGATATTACATACTCGCTTGCGTTTAGGTTGTTGTGGCTTAAATTATTACTTGTTTAAAGTTAAATGTAAAATGTCTTCAATATGTGCTTGTAATGAGGATCACGAATCTGTTCCTCACTATTTGTTAAAATGTCCCCGATATGCTGCTCCTAGACAAAACTTACTCTCGAGTGCTGCACAAATTTTTGGTAATAACTGGTATCTCTTGTCGAATTTAGAAAAAGTCAACATTTTTCTTCACGGTTCTACGAATTTGGATATGTTAGATAATCTGAATCTTTTTATGTTTGTTCAACAATATATAAAGGAAACCAAACGTTTCCTTCAATAGTCGAATATGTGTTAATCTGACTGATAAGGGAACCAGTTGTTCAACTTTCCGTGTGTGATAAATTTTTCTTTTTTTTTATCAGTGTGAAAATGTGTAGCATGAGCCCCGTAGATGAGCTTCATGCTCTTGGGTAAACGCTAGTGAAAATTAATAAATATGTTTATACAAAAAAGCTGAATTGCATAATCTATTTACAAGCTATTATAACACGAATTTAAAATTACATTAGATGCTAACTTTAGATATAAGACAGTTCAAGAAAATTTTTAACTACAAAGGTCAAATTGTATTAAGACTTGCACATTGAAGGAATAAAAGTCCGCTTAAAGCGTTCAGTGCGTATCATTGGAATACTGAAGACTCGATTCTTTCAAATGTCATAGTTTACCTCTTGCAAAGGAGGTAGAAGATTGTGTAACTTATGAGATTCTGAACTCTTGATGGACGAGAATAACTTGTCGCATAACTTTATACGTCTATCTTTTAAAGTAGCTAAGTTAACCCATTCAGTCGCATTGCACCCTGATGCACCCTACTTTAGTATTTTACTCTGTCTAACGCCAGAGTATTTTACTCTGTCTAACGCCAGACTATTTTACTCTGTCTAACGCCAGACGATTTTACTCTGTCTAACGCCAGACGATTTTACTCTGTCTAACGCCAGACGATTTTACTCTGTCTAACGCCAGACGATTTTACTCTGTCTAACGCCAGACGATTTTACTCTGTCTAACGCCAGACGATTTTACTCGTCAAAGGGAGAGCGCTGGCGCTTAATGGGTTAAACTTCTGCAGGTTATGTTCATATGACTGGTTTGGGGAAATGATAGCCAGCGCTCTCTTTTGGACGTTTTCTAAGTCATCACACAAATATTTCGGGAGGGAATGGTGGAAAACCTGCGAGCAGTATTCCAACAGAGGTCTAATACATGTACAGAAAAAATTTCGGATGTCTGCAGTTGGTACTCCAGAACGTTTTAGTAAAATTAGGAAGTATGTACGCTTATTAGCTTTTCTCATTATTTCACCAATATGGACGTTCCACTGGAGGTCATTTGAGAGATTCAGACCTAAGATCTTTACATAGTTACAGTAGGTTACCATTTACTGTCAAAGGTTCGAAGACGTGTTTGCAATGCTTGACGTTGATGATGAGTTCTTTGCATTTCTTGGCATTTAGCTGGAGTTTATTTTCAGTGGACCACTTTTCAACTGATGTAACTGCATCTTGGACTTGACTATTTGTTTCAAGCTGGACAACTTCTGATATGGTTGTGTCGTCAACAAATTTCCAGCTACTAACATCTGGGATCTTTAGGTCATTAATCATAAGCAGAAACAGCCACAGTCCTAATTTGGTGCCTTGCGGGACTCCTGAGGATACATCTCCCCATTCGGAAAAGCAGTCATGTGAAAGTTTGACACGTTGTTTACGGTTCGTTAAGAAATCAGCTACCCAGCATGCGATGCTCCTGGGAATATTTAGGCTAAGGATCTTTTGTACCAGAATTTGATGGGTCAATTAGGTCAAACGCTTTTTTGTAGTCAAATAAGACCACTCTAACTGCGGCTCCTGTACTGTCAGTGGCTTGGGCCCAATGATAGATCATAGAGATAAGGGCATGTGCTGTCAAGGACTTCGGTATGGCTCCAAACTGGCTAGGGTTCGATGATCTCGAGAACAGCTGGCACAACGTATAATTTCACAACAAACTCCTCTGCAACTTTAGAAATAGCTGGTGTCAGGGAGACGGGTCTAAGGTGGTCTTCGACGGGGCTTTGTTTTGGTACTGGGATAACATCAGCTAATTTCCAGGAAGAAGGAAGACCTTGATTAGCAAAGGAACAGTTTATGATGTGGCGAATGGGATCAGAAAGTATCATGGCATATGCTTCAAGAATCCAGTTTGGGATGCCGTCAGGTCTGGGTGCTTTGTGTGGTAAATTCCGCAATACAGATGAGACAGCCTCGACCGAGTTTTGGGGCAGTTCAGAGTTTGATTCGAAAGGGGCAGGAGGGTCAATGCTTTGATAATTTTGCATCGGTTCTAAAAAAGCCGAATTAATCATGGCAGCAATTACGTGCGGAGAAAGTGAATCAATACCTGAAATTTGCAGTTGAGAACATAGAGACTCAGAGCCACAAGGTGTCGCCATTCCAGCAATACGTTTAACTGTGTTCCACCACTGGCTTGGTTTTGTTTGCTTAAGGTGCTGGATCTTAGAAGCAAAGTACCTGCTTTGGAGGGTTTTCCTTTTTCGATTGACAAGGTTTCGGTAATGACGATAGTTTTCCATTTCCCCATTTGAAAAGGCTTGATTTGATTAGTTCTTTAAAGTCAGAGGTAACCCATGGGGGATCATTTACATGAAGTTTTATTCGCTTTAGAGGCATGATTGTGTCAACGCCAATGGTAATTAAATCAACAAGAAGTTGTAACTTGACTTCACAGCTTTCAACATCTTCGAGGAACGGCCAATGGATGGAACTTAGGTACCTACCGAGTTCGTGTTTTCTACTTGGGCGGGTGTCTCGTCTCATCAGGGTTTTCCTGCTAGAATTGGAGTTAGGTTACCGCACTTTGGGATGAAGAAGGACACCATTGTGGTCCGAGAGACCGAAAGGAGGGATGGAGTGAACAGAATTGTGATCATAAATCTGGTACATGTTGGTGATTATGAGGTCCAAGATGTTGTTACCTCTGGTAGGGATGTGGACTAGTTGTTTCATTTTAAATTGGGTTAAGAGGCGGTGAATCTTCAGTTGGTTAAAATTGCCAGCCGGGAGAATGCCACATCCAGGGTAGAGGCTTTCTACAGAGATGAGTGTTGTTGTTAAGTAATGTAACATGACTTTGTCGTCAGAACTAGGTGGGTGATATATGATACCCACGATAATACAAGGAGTACCACAAGGCAATCTTGTAGGCCTAATATGAGACCATAGCACCTCCATTTCAGGTTCTTCCAATGCAGATAATCGTTTACAAGGAATTGTGGACCTGACGTATAGACACACGCCCCCGTGTGATTGGGAGACACAGTTTTTAAAGATAAATTATATCCAGGGACAAGGAGATGATTGTTGATAATTGAATCGTGTAGCCATGTTTCGGTGAAGCAGGCAGATCAGGATTCTCCTCTTGGATAACACAACAAACTTCGTCAATTTTAGGTAAAAGAGACATGGTATTCACAAGCAATATGCTAGGACCAAAGTCATATTTCGTTGTGCAAGTACCTATTAAAGGCAACAGTTTGACATTCGTGAGATTTGCATTGTTCGCTTCCTTAGTACTATGTTGGAGTTTGGTAACATTTCTGTTGGTAATTCTCACAGGAATGGGATAACTTGGTACTGTAGATGGTCAGTTGAATTCCAAATATATAGACTCATTATTTAAACGATTAGTAGTTGGGCCAAAAGGGTTAGGGTTTGAATGAGTGTTAGAGGTATACAGGGAAGAGGTCTCACAATTCAATGTACAGGAGGTTTTGTCATTATTGACATGAGTGGTGGGGGACTTGTCAGTGGGGGCATATGTGGAGGTACATACAGGTACGGAAACGGCTGAGACGGGATAAAACCATGGGAAATGAATTGGGGGGAAATAACTTGGGTCGTACGGAAAAGGAAATTGGTTATTACTGCATTGTGGCATGTTAGGGGGGGGGGGAGATCTTTCACCACACTTCTGTTGAGATGTCTTTCCGCGTGTTCCAGGTAGGACATTCTCATGTAAGAAGTCACATATGTGTCCCTTTAAACAGTATCCTCGCCTTTTCAGAAACAGGCATGCCACTAGAGCTTTTTTCGTTTTCGAGCTGTGTTGGCAGGATCAATGTTATTTTTGTTCGGGTCGTGATTATAGTAATTTTGGGTTGGATTTTGTTTGGGAGATGGACTTTCGATGGTGATTAAACTTCCATTATTTTCCCTCGACCTAGCTGATGTTTTAGATGTAGCCGATGGGATTTCAATGATACTTGGGTTTGCATAATTAATTTCTAGATTATCCAGTTGTATGCTGTTACAGGATGACTTTTCGGTTGAGATGTTGGTTGTATTTATCGTAGGACCATGATCGTTTCTGGTGATTGGGCTTGCATTATTTCTATTCATATTAAGTGGCGTTTTGACTGCTGATGGACTATTAATTGGACTTGGATTGTTTGTGTTTAAATTATGCAGTTTCACACTGCTAGTGGGTGTTGTTACGCTTGGAGTATTAATTGGATTAGTTGCCGGCCCATGATCATTGTTCTCCTGGTTATTACCTGTTAATCTAAATACTAGATTTTCAAGGGACATAAGTTTCGATTTTTAAAATTTTTTTCGTTTTGTCTGTGTTGGCAGGATCAATGTTATTTTTGTTCGAGTCGCGATTATAGTAGTTTTGGGTTGGATTTTGTTTGGGAGATGGACTTTCGATGGTGATTAAACTTGCGTTATTTCTATTCATACGAGTGGCGTTTTGACTGCTGATGGACTATTAATTGGACTTGGATTGTTTGTGTTTAAATTATGCAGTTTCACACTGCTAGTGGATGTCGTTACGCTTGGAGTATTAATTGAATTAGTTGCCAGCCCACAATCATTGTTCGCCTGGTTATTACCTGTTAATCTAAATACTATATTTTCAAGGGACATAAGTTTCGATTCCTTTCGATTCCTCTTGATCATTTCCTCTTGATGCTGTATAATGGCTTCCATATTTGCTTGTTTGGCTTTAAGTAACTTAGTGTTCGACGCATTTTGGGAAATTACTTCAGGTAATAATTTGCCTTCCAAGATTGCTATGTCTAATTTAATACCTTCAAGTTCAGTTGTTATGCTACTGTTTATAGATTCACAGTCATAGTTACATACCGTAACTAAGGCATCCCTTGCTTCGCTTTTATCGATGGACATAACTCTGGAGATTCGCTGTTACCGGACATATTCAGGGTCTCAGAGCACCCATGATCACTGTCCGTAGCTCTGACATTTGTCAACTGAGATGTCTTATTACGTGTCTCAGAGCACCCATAATCGTCATCTGTGCCTTCAACATTTGTCAGCTGGGGAGGTACCCACTGCCTATATCAAGTCGCTGCTCGATGGCTTGTTTGTTTCTCCCAAGATCTTCAGTTCTTTATTGTCTTCTATTCCATTTTATTGAGACTGATTCGCCCCAGAACCGCTTTACATCACCGCCTGGCGAAGACCATTGCCCAGTTAGATTTAATTCGTTTTTAACCAATACTTTTAGCTGAGATAAATCACCCGTCCAGATAAACTCTGAATTTTTGACAAACAGACAATCATAGAGACTCGTAATAGACATTTTCTAACGAGATTGGTAACATACAATTTGGAATATCATGGAGCAACTTAAGACATATCTTACATGTCTTCCTTTTTGCCTCTTGATCAAGTCTTTGAAAAACTCACGGGTGTATGTTTTTCCAAATTGAATGAAAAACCTAAGGAACGGGAAGGGAGTTCTTCTTGACACAGATATCTCATATTCATTTTCGGGGTAGCCCATCTGCACAGCATTGCATTCCAGGTGGTCTCTGGGGAGGTCTTCAAGATGCTGCTTCATCCCAAAATTGATGAATCTGATGTAGTTGACTCCCAAATTCACGATGCCGATGATGAAAGTTGATGTCGGGATCAGCTTCGGGCAACCTCACAAGCCAGGCTCTCTACTTCCACTTCCCTCCCTAACGTGCTCCAGCAGAGACCCTGGTACGGGCTGGTCATGTGACACCCCTCATGTAGCGCCCTGTATGCTACTTAGGGAGGAGTGGCTGAGTAATACATCATTGTTCGCAGTAAATGCATTTTGAACGGATCATAATGCAATATACTGTATAAAGGAAAAGCCAAAGATACTCCAAAACAAAGGCAATAAATCAGGCGATTGCCCTATGCAAATCACTGATCAGTGATGCGAACCGATTCAGTTCCTATATGCTTGTTTCCCTGTGTTTACTCAGCTGCATGTCAGTTACGATATTGTTTTACTACACCTTCTTTTATATATTAAGATTTCAGCTGCTATTCACTTTAATACACAGATCCAGAGATATAAAGTGTCATACCATTTAACTCATTAGAATGACTTTTTATAACATTTTTTACTATTCCACTTTCATGCCCTAGCTGTTTGTATTTTGATGTTGATTTCATACATTACAATTTAATACATCGCGAAACGTACTATATGCTCTACAATAGGATTTTGTTTATGTCATTTGTTTACGTCATTTGTTTACGTTTGTCTTGCCAGTTACATACATATGTCATATTGTATCCGTTTGAACCAGCATGCTTTTTTTATTCGTTCAAGGCCAAGAATTACATTAATTTCTTTTAGTTCGATAAAACAGAATCAGTCATTCATTAAAGCAGATTGTTTTTATCTGGCTATCGCTCTTGGTTTAGCTTGAAAGTTATACTATATTCCGGTTATCCATTTTACAGTACAAAAATGTAAACAACTAAAGTAAATCATACATTTTGATCAATCCAATGTACAATATTCAAAATAAACACTCCTAGGCCAGAAACTTGTTCTTTGCATTTCACATACTTTAGCCTACCCTCCCGCATGGACATAGTGACTTAAGGTGTCACATGACCAGCCTGTACCAGGGTCTCTGCTTGAGTGTGTTAGGGAGGGAAGTGAGAGTAGAGAGCATGGGTTGCGAGGTTGGGCTTTGAGTGGCCTGTGATCAGATGCAGTAAATCTTCCCCAGCCGGAAGCAGCACATGCATAGTCGTTCTCTCACCATATGTGACAACATCGTCAAAATAATAAAAGGGTTCCATGTGAAACCATTGGGTTCCAAGTTTCCCTATGCCACGATCTTCCTTTATTTATCACTTATTTACTGAGACCGAGGGAAACAGTGTGTTTTGTGGACCCGAGACCGCTGTTGTTGCCCGAGG